TCTTGATCGATGCAAACAAAGCATTTCAACTGGATTCTTATAATGCATGTTGTTCAATCTGTGGATATCTGAAAACGCATGAGAATTGCATCATATTTTATGTACATTTATCATTACGTAGGACAAAAAAAACAAACTTGCATTGAAAAGAATCTGGTTGAAACCTAAACATAGTATAAGTTCAGTTTTATTTCAGTCCAGTTTTATGGAAACCCTTTAAAACAAGCCTTCATCAAAATCTCTTCTGCAGTTGACATCTGTGGGGTTTGCCTGGGAAGAGCGCCCTCTATGGCAGCACAGTGTGGCTGAGGTCATTATGTCACCTTCCTCCCATGTCTATATGCTCCCATCGCACGGCTCGATGACACGGTGGGTGTCTTCTTTTTTTAATCAACTTTTTAAGACAACAAGTGCGCAGAAAGTGATGTTTTTTTTTAACAACCCTTGAGTGCGATTGGTGATGATGGCGAAGAGTGAGAAGGCTGCGAGTGAGCGAAGAAAGTGTGGCGCGCACGAACGAAAAGACTTGCGAGTGCGATGAACGAGCCGAAATGTGACTGCAGTGGGTGGGTTTGGTGAGCGTGTGAATGAGAGCTGCTGATACTTCCCAGCTTCCCCCTTAATTGAGCCCAAATTGATGGACATTTAATACATGTACCTCATGGATTTATTTATTTTTTGGTCTCCCTAGATCCCCCGTTTTGCTTTTCTCCTTTAGTATACTGACAATGTGCTTATATAGTTAGTGGAATGTTGTGATGATGTTGATGATGCATACTTTGTCTTGCTTCTATAATCCCATCTGAATGCTGTATGGTGTGTGTGCTTTATTTCCTTGTAACTTGACCTGTAAGTGTGAACTTTGATGTGGATGACATCTTCAGTGGACACTGAGGGGGAAAACATGAGTGATGGTGTAAGTGCGACCTGTATGTTGAGTGCTGTGGATGTCTGTGGAGTTTCCCTCTAGATAACGTCGCTCAAGTGTTTTCAAAGGCATTTTATATGACTTGTCAAATGAAGGGAGTGCTTCAATAAAACTAATTTGAATAGATTGCTCTTTTCTCATACTGGTTTGTCACGTGATGTTTGAGAGCAAATACCGCACAACTAATTGAATTCACACATTTAGGGGCCTGGAATATGGCTGGCCGCAACTGAACCCCAGGCGGGAAGTCCGTTTGGGGATGGAGGAAGATGGAGGATGCTGTGGTTCTGCATCTCTGGTAACAGCCATGGACACGGTAGACTCTAGCAGAATTTAATACATGCTTCAGGATGAGCGCTTTTTTCAGAACCGTTCAAGCCCAATACATTTCAATCTGTAACAAGCTTGATCTGGTTTCTAGAAAGCTGCTCGTCGTATTAAAATGCAGCCATATGCAGGTTAAAGTCTTTTTTTTTTTTTTTATTCAGGTCCATGTTTTTAAAATGTATGATTTAAAAATCTGTATTGTTTCATAGAGCTTCATTTTCCCAACAAAGAGATGTTTACAGAATTCTTTATTACAATAAAACACAAATGAACCCACGTTTGAGTAAAAAAATTATTGGTGTTTAGTATTGAATGTGATTTATGTACAAATATATGCACAGCTGTTTTATTACTACATGCAAAAACCAAGTACTCCGTAAAAGTCAAATGTCAATGAGGATTTGTATATTTATTTTGTTCAGTCTTCAAGCTCATTCTCCCCCTCAGCTTCCATGTCTTTACTCTTCCTCTTGGCAGCATTCTTCTTCCTCTTCTCCTTCTTCAGTTCTTGGTTGTTCAAAGCCAGTTCTTCACTTTTCTGTTGAATGTAGTTGTACTGTGAAGGTATAGAAAGGGTACAATGTTTTTCACTCATTTGATAGAACTGTAAAAACATTTAAACAAATGGCAAAATTTTCTTGTACCTTATATCTAATTTTATATTATTGATTTTTTAAATATAAAAAATATAATGTAATTACATGAGAACTTTTAAAAAGATCCTGTTAACAAATTAGTAAAGTTCATATTTTCATTGACAGTTACAACACTTATGTACATTTCATATTAATTTAAAGCACAGTGTAAGATTTTTTTTTATTAAAATATCCAAAAACCACTAGAACAGTGTTATATATTTTGCCAACTTGTGTACATTATCCCAAATGTTTCGAAGAATGTTTAAATCCAGAGAAATAAACAATTTTAACTAGTGACACTGACAGTGTCGCCTGCCAATGACGTCATAACCCCTCGATTTCCGGTTTGGTTTTGTAGAAAACATGGAAACACCAAAGACGCTTTAATATGTTGTGCGTTTTAATAGACCGGTGACGACCGCACAGAGTAGCATTATAACAGAACTTTCAAATGTATCTAGTATGATAAAACAGCACTGCTTTTTTTCCCCACATACGAAGGAGCGGAAGCGGTCGACTGTGGCATAATAAAAGCTCTGCTGCTTTCGAGCCGTGTGTCGCGCTCGTTCAGCGGCCTCCTTTCGCTTCGACGGCTTTCAGTCTGACCCTGCTTCATTCTACGTTAATAAATCATTAGCTCATCCATGAACATGATTTCTGCCCGAGTCCCGTCAGATTGCATCGGCTGTGGGGATGAAGACCACAACTCCCATGATTCCACACTCAGTCAGGTGTCATCAAACTACACCATTGCCTCTTTGTTTATTCTGAATACGCGCCCTCTAGCGGCGAAAATTACATATTGTGCCTTTAAATATTAACATTTCATATTTAGACTTGGTTTTGTTTTTTATTGAATTTTTAAAAAACAATTCTCAGTATGAACTCGTAGGATTTGTATGAAAATTGCATTTATTTTTTTGTTGTTGCAGTTTTCTATGACGACCAAAAAAAAAAAATGGGTGGGGTTTTGCACGTGGATTACAAAAACATGTTTTAACATTTGATTTCTGAAGTCATCCTACCAGTGCAGTGGTTCTCCTCGCTGTCAGCTTCACATCATCCACTGTAACGGTGTGTCGTTTAGCATGCCTGTAAACATTGTAGAGAACCATCAGCACCAAAAAAAAAAGCATCTTCATTAACGTGGTTAATTCCTGAGGAGAAACTACTTTTGAGGGTGAAGTTTACCTCGCAAACGCTTCCAAGTCCTTGGCAAATACATCTAGAGGTAAGACACAGAGGAGCGTGAATAAATATCGTTTAATCTCGTCACATTCATGGCACTAGGTTAAATCAAATCTTACCGCACTGTCTGAACGCAGTCTCTGCAATAGCTGCTATTGTCTGTTTAGTGATTTGTTTCTCGCAGTCTGCGGCGATGTCTTGACAGAGACGGCCGACAGTGTAGTGCACAGCAGCTTTAAGCCTCTAAAAGCATATAAATACTGGCAATGTGAGAAAAAACTCCTAAAGGTTCTTTATAACGTGTATATGACCAAAGGTAGCGAAGTATATCATAGATATTATGCATTAGCTGGTCATTAAGTTTAATGTTATAAGGTATAACCTGTTTTTGTGCCTCGTCCTCATCCATTTTCAGTAGGTAAATAAGCTGAAGCTCAACTCAAATGTGCTTTTAGCCATTACAAAAATCGCGCGAATTGTGTGTTATTCACGTTGTAGTGACGGCGTCAGTGTTTATTATGGCCATATCAGCGCCTCCTACTGATGTGGAGCGAATGTCAGTCAAGATAAAGAATGTAGAAATAAACGTTTCTTTTATAGGTAGTTCTTCAATATATGATAATGTCATACGGGGAAGTTACAAGTCAATATTTCTGTTTGTGGCTTCCTTCAAAGTAAAACGTTCGATACTGTGTGGAAAGAAACCATTGCTGTGTTGGGGTTAGTTGACACAATTGCACAACATTTTAGTCATGAATTAACAAAATGTAGGAAACCATGCCAACCAGTCTCAGTCTCCTGTACTTAAAGTTTCATGCATTAAGACAACATCAGCCTTTTGATCTCAAAGCAATAATTAGTCTAATTGCTGTAGCACTTAAAATAAATGTATCAAATGTATGCCATTTTCTGTGGTATTTTTTATTGAAACAATTTTTATTTACTTGAAGCAAAGTTGCTGCTACAAAAAAGAAAAGTGACAGATTTTTTAGACACTCTTGCATTCTTATAGGCCTACTGTTGTTTAGTAAGCTTTCCCCACTTTTATAATGTTATGTTCGCTTTATTGAGAACTGTTTAATGCTGAAATCGTATGTTATTATTCTTCAATAAACACGCTAGAATTTCAGTTAAACACAATGGTTCAAGCAGTTCTTTTGTAGGTTTGCTTGCAGATCTGGTCTTCACATCTAAGTTCCTTTAAGAGAAAAAAGGTTTCTTACGTTATTTTTGTATCTGGTATTTTATAAATTTTATTTGAAAATTACAATTACAAATTTAAGGCCTATGTTTGACTCACAAGGTAAAGAGTGTCTCCCTCCATCCAGTGTGTCCATCCTCTGTTCTTCTTTTCTCCTTTCTGCACACACACAAGTTTGTCGTTGTCCCAGTTGACTGTTGTCTGTAAAAAAAAAAATAAAATTGCAGTATTTCTCAATTCTGGCACAGAAAACTCTAGACTATGACCACACACCATGGTGTCTCTTGTGACTGTGTGTGAGTGTGTGTATGTTTTCAACCTGGCATTTTCTGTTGTCCAGTCCTTTGGTGATTTCCTCAAATTCTTCACTGATTTTGAATGAACAGGAGTAGTTTCGGAAAGTTGTAAATGTTTTAATGATGAAAGAGTCTCCGTCTTGCTCAAAAACTTTCTGTGGCTTTAGCATCCTCGCCACCTTTCGGGTGGCGAAATCAATTCCTGTATTACATATATTACATTGCCGAAGGTTAAATTCATATTCTTAGTAAATACATTCACAATGTATAAGAAAGGAAATAACAACTAAAATAAATAAATATAAAAATATATACATTTAAAATCTAAAAAATAAAATGCCTACTATACATGTGTGTAAAATACCTAATATATAAAATATGAAAACCCTGAGAGAGGCAATGAAAGATATACTCACCAACAGCCACCATGTAACCTTCAAAGTTTTGATTGTCCACCATGTCCCAGGTTCCACTGTAGTTTGCAGGCATGCTTGAATCCTGAAGCGTTTCTGAAGCGTTTGAACCTAGAAGCTGGAATTTAAAGGTTCATGTGTGGAAATGAGAGAAGCAGATGTGCTATGTCGTATTTCACAGCAGGTCTGTGTGTAGTAATATGGGGCAGGGGTGATTCCTAAGACACAAAAGCTATTTTAGAGGCTTGGTCAGAGGGGTTGTTCTCTGAGGCGGAACATAACTTTTACACTAATTGCGTATGTGTCCCGTGGGAACACAAAGAGAACAATGTAATTCGAAAGACACATGTTGCTTTGGCAGTGGATTGAACTGGTACAACAGTTTGGCAAGAATTTAGCAATGTCAGAGATGCCCAGTAGGTTTGAGGTCGTTTCTTTATCTTTCATTAACATTGTGGCGATGGCTTTAAAGAATGTCTGAGGTACTGTATGTCAACACCGGTTGGTGTTTTTCCTCTCTTTTTCTATTTTCTAAAAAGCCAGATAGATTACCTTCCTTCAAAATGCTGTGGAAATTACAGATTTATTGAACTTTCATACAGGCAGGCATCTTTTCTTGACCCTCTGTTCTGGGTGATGAGGTTGTCTTGAGGCTGCATTGAGGTGGGTTTTGTAATTCATCCATTTTAAGTTCACACTGAAAATTCAGTCATCATTTAGCCTATTCAGTGTGAACGTGGGCAGTGAAGGTTCAAAATGAATAAAAGACACCGTGAGTCTTCTGTGATGAGCAGACCAAAATCAAAATGACCAAAAGTCATTATTTTCTGAAAAGATGGGTTTCTAATAACAGTACAATAATAATATGTTAATGAAAAAGTCATTAAAGGGGTCATATGATGCAATTTCAAGTTTTCCTTTCTCTTTGGAGTGTTACAAGCTGTTAGTGCACAGATAAGATCCCTAACGTTGCAAAGACTAAAGTCTCATACTCAGAGATATTCTTTATAAAAGTTAAAGGGGTCCTATTATGCTCTTTTACAAAGTCTTGATTTTGTTTTGGGGGTGTACTAGAACATGCTCTCATGCTTGGTGGTTCGAAAAATGCATTATTTTTCACATAATTTACATTACTAAAATGCCTTCCTCCCCATCCTGGCACAAACGGCTCGATTAGTTCCGGCTTTGATGAAGGTCCGCTTTCCGAAAAACAAAATGTGTTGTGATTGGTTAGCTGTCCCAGTGCGTTGTGATTGGCGAACAGCTTAGACAGTGTTTCAGTACTGCCACGCCCCTTGCTCCGTCTTCCAACAAAAGCTTTTGGGTGAATCCGGCAGGCACTGTACTCCCTCGTGTTTTGGGCATGGAGGTGAAAAAAAAAACAGCGTTTCAGGCGGTCGCGTCGCACCACATCTTTCAAATTCAAATACTTTATTTTCTACGAGTGTAGGCACACCGGCAGCGTCTGTCCGCGGCTCCCAGCTACGTCGTGTTGTACTTGTAAGAATTGTTCTAGACATGCCGAAAATTTGAAGCTACAGCACAGCAGCTCTTCTTCTTGGTTTTCTCTGGTGCACTAACTCTGCAGCAGCACT